CATCATCATCATCATCATCATCATCATCATCATCATCATCATCATCATCACAATATATCACAATCATCCTCTTCTTCCTAAGCGGTTTCCATGATACTTCAGGACTTCGGGCTCCCGCTTTTCCTCCCGCGCGTTTCCGCCCGCCGCTCCGTTCCCCCACTCCGGGCCTTCACTGCGTAGTGCATCAAGGTCCACCGCGAGGGGCCGAAACGTTCCCTGAAACGGGCCGATGGGGTTGGAGACCTGGACCTTCGAAGGGGTCACCTGGCTGGAAGCCCCTACACTACCATCCGGATCTCCATTGGACACCCCTTGGAAGGTGCTGGTATAGAGAATTGTGATGGAATAAAAACACATGAGGAAAAACCATGTACATGTAGTGGTTTTCTTTTGTGAGATGTCGAAAACTCTTGGCGTAACACAGAAAACCTATATACATGATGCACGGAAAACATGTCCTCCAACGACAGTTATTGTCCAGCATCCGCAACATGCAACAAATATGCCTGCAGCCTTGACATGCTTTGACAGATGTTGCCCGCTAGGATATTAGAGCAATTCTACTACCTATACAAAACGCAGAAACGGACCTTCTGCTGCTTGTACTGCGACTTATTTCTACTGCCACTACCACTACCACTATCCCCAGCGCTGCTTAATTTGCTTCAAATGTAACCAAATGAATCTGCACGCACATCACCTCATTTACGGCAGCCACAAAGCATTGGGCCGGTTCGCCTAAGCACCTCCTTAAACTGCACCGAGTCCTTCTCCTTCTTCAAAAACTGCCAGCGCTTCATGACATGCCGGACTTCGACCAGTTCTTGTTTGATTTTGACAAATTGATCTGATGTGGTATATCGATTTGATTGGAATTTCCCATGTCCATCAAGTGCAACAAGTGAGGACTAAAAGTGGCGAACAAGTTGCAACAAAGAATTAACACAGCACCAAAATGACCCTGAACATAGAGATCTGGCATGTAAATACTTAATTAGGTTGGAGGCCACAATTGACCTGCAAATTTGGAAGCATTCGGTGCCTGCATGTTGCGCAAGGAGTCTGCGCCACGGTGCACGGCGCCACAACAGCCCTCCTGGTGCAAACAGTCGGGGCTTTGGGTGCAAACAGTTGGAATATCTTCCCAAGAAGTCCAGCTATTGATGAAGGGAACAGGTGCTGTTTGTCTCAAAATTGTGATATACTTTATTTTATATACTACCTATCAAGAGAACATAACTAGTTACTATTATCTCAAAAGATCGGTTTATTTCAAACTATACACATCCCCAACACTCCGGAATTCCTAAAAACTGACCCCTTTTGAACCCCAATGAGTCCGTCGAAATTCCGCCACTGAGGTGGACTCCGCCCAGCCCAGGGAGACGAGACGCGGCCCGGCCGTTTGAACGGTACCTGCCACTGAAAGCGGGCCAACACATCAGAACATCACAGCCAGCCATCAGAACATCACCACGCCATCATCTTTATAGCAGCTGCTATATAGTCATATATGGTCATCCAAACTCACTCTTCTACCCTCGTCTTGAGCCCGACCCGCACGTCCTGCCAAACAAGTATTAAGGGCTTGTTTTAACACGCGGTGACAAGCTGCGCCATCCCCGGTGCCAGGTCCTGAACTGCTTTCAAGAGATACTGCGCCACGTCCTTCACATTGTTGTGCTTCAATGGCACCTGTCAATCCCGAGCTGCGGAAAACAACACCCAATCGACCGGTCACCGGTCATACTTCCAAAACCCCTTCCCGCGCGGTCATTCTCTCAGTGAGTTTCTCTTTTTGATTCCTAAGAATGACGTCTATTCTCCCCAAATCCATCCAGTATCTGCTCCTTTCTACTCACCAACCCCTCATTCCATTTTAGAACAACTAAACTAAACACATACCAGGACCCTCCTGTCGGGGTGTCCAATGAACTACCCCACACTACCTTTTTTGGCTTCCAGACAGGGCACCCCGACAGGAGGGTCCTGGTACTACATACACAGTCACAGTCTTCGTCCCGGACACCCACCGGACTGGCCGGTCGCCCTCGTCCTGGCCGGTCCCCCTCGTCGCCCTCGCCTCGGTGATGGCCCGCTGCTGCCGCAGGAAGTCGGCGACCTCGTGGCGCTTCAGGGCCAGGGCGTAGTGCACGGCGCTGCAGCAGGAACCATCGATCCACTGTACCTGGCCGGTCGAAGACGACGGAAGACGAGGGTGTTGAGAAGAGGGTCGGACTTCTGAAGTCTCGCGTTTCTGGAGTTCTAGAGACCTTGTATTCGTTTTTTCTGAGGGTGTGGAAGGATGTGGGAAGGTATGTGGCTGCATAGGTGTGGTGGGGGTAGGAGATGGGGGAGAGGAGACTGTTGGGAAGTGGTGAAGTGCTGCATCACCACCCAGTTGCAGGGACCCAAGGTGGTAAGTGGGCAGATGCGCCTTGGGGCATTGATTGAACATTCCCAGACATCCCGTAAGCAACTATGTTGGATCATCAACTTGATGCACATATAGGCTGATGAACCCTGGCCGAACCAATTCTTCCACCATCACTACTGTACAGCATCCCACAAGGTTTGAACGTGCTCAACTGCAGCGTTGATGTCCTCCCAAACATGAGAAGAGTAGTTTTTGCTTTAGTCTTTTTGTATAAACATGAATTCATTAAGCATTAAGATGATCAACCTCTCTTTGTATGCAAACCTACTTCAATATATGATCATCCACACCAAAAACAAGATGAATCACTGCGGTCAGACCGCGTCATCCCGAGTCGGACTTGAAATGGTTTCGCTTTCATCCAGGCATCACTAGCACGGTTGTGGTTTTGTCATGTTTTGGTGCTTTAGCCGCCAGCCGCCAGGTGGATTTCGTCAGGACTCATCCCCGTCGACCTCGCAAACCGTCGTCGACCGAGCTGACCGCTGAAACCGAACCGGTCAGCTGAAACCGTCGACCTCCGAGCGCGCAGCCACCAGCTGTCGGCAGAGTTCCAAGTCGCCGGCCGCGGCGAAGGCCATCAATGCGGTCCTAACGAGGACTCGGACGGTGGACGAGACGGGGGGGGGTCCTGGGGGCCGGGGTCGAGCTGTAGGTCCGCTTTCTTCTTTCGAAAGGGTGGGTGAGAATGCAATGGTTCAATGGTTTAAGTCGTGCGATTGGCGGCGATGGGATGAGCACCCCAAGGCGAAGGGCAAGTCCTCTTGCCCACAGCGAAGGCCTGCTGTGCACGTGGATCGGCGTTGGCCAACAAAGCTGCCTCAAACCGTGCTGGGCGTTCTCATGACCCCAATGACCTGCCGCGCCCTTGTCTTAGGAAACACCCGGTGGAAGACGATCGATGCACTTGTTAGTAGCATAAGTTAAGTTAGCTTAAAGTGCCAAAATCATTTAAAATCTACCAGCACCTTCAAAGGGGTGTCCAATGGAGATCCCTAGGTAGTGTAGGGGCTTCCAGCCAGGTGACCCCTTCCAAGGTCCAGGTAGGAAAATCATTCGTGCGAGCGCTTCTTTGTTCGGAAGCTTCTCCCGCCGCCTTTCCGGCGCTACTAGGGGAGCTTCCTTGAAGAAGCGTGAACTATCCTGCGTCCTAAGTAGTAGCTACTTGCAGGTAGTAGCTACCTCAGTTCCTTACTCAATTAAGGTGGCGCCTACGTAATTTAGCAGGGAGGGGGGGGAGCGAGCTCCCAAAGGAATCAGGGTCCCATGCCCATGAATGAAGCCCTAGTCCGAGCCCGGCCGCTCGCGCATAGCCGGAATCGGCCAGCTTGGCGGCAGCTTTGAGGTGCCCCGGCAGCGTCTCCTGTGACCGTCAAACACGGAGAGACCGGCACGGCGAGACCGTGGGGGGTCAGACTTCCCTGGATTCAACGAGGTGGTGTCGGCCTGAACACCAGGCAAGCTGGTGATCATCTGAATCTGGATTCCGGAGCCGGTTCACAGGTGAGTCGACGAGCGTATAGCATGGACCCTGCAAGATGCTAGATATCTTGGTTGTCTGTTTGCAAAAGTCTCTCCGATCAGTTGAATGCTGATGGTGGGTCCGGAGGGAGCAAGTCGCCAAATATATATAGAGAGATCCAGTTCTTGCCCACGATGACTGGCAAGAACAATATACTTACTTTACACTATATTGTATGGTAGAATTACAAATAACGGTCATATAATGCTCATCCCCGAGCAGTTGTTCTCAGTTGCCAACCTTGCCCTTCTTTCATATCTTTCTTTCTCGTACTCAAATCCAGTAGCTGCTTGGGGTGCTTTGAATGAAGTCCTGGAACATGTCTTGATCTGTCGTGTTTGCAGGAGATTCCTGTTTCTCTTTCATCGGATACCTCGGAGACGAAGGACATCTCGAACGACCCCTGCGCCACTGCGCTCCTTGAAGCAATGAGCGCAGTAGGGTGTTCCATCGCCCCGCTGCATGCACACCAACCTCGCCGCAGCCGAGTTCTGGCACGTGTGACCAGAAAACATCAACATGGCATTGAAGGCTCTCGGAGGATGAAGCTGGCTCCGAGTCGGACGGTCAGCCAGATGTTTCGAGGAGGTACGGATTCCGAGCGTTATTTTTTCTGAACCAAAAAACAACTGGGGTCAACATGCCCAGACACTCCATGGGACTGCCATATGCCGATCAGTTGGGGTGTTTTGGGGGTCAATGTAGGCCAATGTAGGCATTTATGGCAGTCCCACTAGGTTTCGCCCGTAAAATTAGGGTGGTGCCCTGCAGCACTGCAGGATGGACTGGCTTAGAGTCTTAGAGCTTCATCCCTGCGTCTCAGAGCTCCGCAGTCCTCCACACAAACCTTTGACCCATGAAAGATTCCTCAGTCAAAAGCACTTTCAGACATCTGAAAACAATGTTTCTACAGTATATCTCAGTACAACACCATACACACCCTCAATCTCTTGGGTATACATCTGACAAAAATTGGCTTCACCTGGGTGTCAGCTGGGAACAAGCTCACGCGTGCCTATGTCAAAGCCGCTCATGACACCGTTTTTGTCCAAGAGAAACATGACAGGGAAAATCCATTCAAGGTCACAAGTCCAACAACTGACTGACTACCACTCTCTTTCCTACTGTAGCTGCTACAGTTGGTAATCTTTGATGTTGTGGCTTCTGACATCAAATCCACCAAGAACCCAACTGATCTCCAATCTGGACCCCCCCAACCAGCTGGGCTGCATTCGACCCACCAGGACTCCCGGCATGTTCACCATCTCCGAGTGGCCCTTTTGCAGCGCAGAATCCAACCTGGACCCCGGTGGATTGGGCACCAATGGAACGCGCGTCCTTCCCAACAAGAGAGGGATGCATTTGGAGGTCCATCCCTTCGTTTTTCGTTCTTTTTCAGGTGGACACCTCAAGTCTTGGCACCGCAAGTTCTTCATCCATGCTTCATATTTACACATGGGTGGCAGCCCAAAAGCCACAGACTCTCCAGATCCTCCTGCACGGCCGAGGCGCCAAAACAAAGGAATCCTCCTCTAGTTCCGTTCCCAAACATGTTGAAATGTGTGGACATTGATCAGGAACACACCCTTTCTATCCAATCCTTTTGGCAATCTTTAGTAAACGCCCAAAGTCTCTTCTCACGGTGAATGATGTTGGCTCCCAAATCGCCACTTTCTTGTCTCCACTCATCTTCCAACATCCCAAACTTACACATCCTGAAGAATCGCTCCATATATCTTGTCTCGCATTTGTATCGCTTACCTGAAACAACAACACCTGGCCCAGTGGCAAAGACTCGCTGCCCGCGGACAAGACCTGCCCACCGCTTCCCGCTGCGACCGCCGAAGGACCACTGTCCGGTGGGTGGGGTGGAACCCCTCCGTCGACGAATTCGGTCGGCCAAAGGTCGACGTGGATGACCTGTGAGTCTCTGGGTGTGTCTGAAGCCATAGGTGGGTGGATTGTCCTGTTTTGGTCGATATTCATGCACAGTAGCTGTTGCGTGGTATCCTGTAGTCATGCTGAACCAATAGGCTGTCACACACTGTGCAGAAAAGAAACACCCAAACTGGTTTTATTGATGTTATTGGTCCTTTGCATGTTTGATTCCATAGCAGGAGGAGTACAGTTTAAAGCAAACACCCGTAACGATACATCTTGTGTATGGTTTCAGGAAAACAGGAACAGGAATTAAGTATATCTGTAGAACAGGAACCCTTAAAGCAAACCACACAATCACACAGTTTCAGGGTCCCTGGTCCGAGTGGACGGAGCCGGTCGCGCCGCGAAGCCACGGACCTGGTCGGCGCCCGCGGTGAGCAGCGCGCGGACGGCCGCGGCCGCCGTGGCCGTGCTTTGCTGGGCAACTTTCGTCAAGAAGGGCTCCAGGAAGGGCAAGGCCTCGATGTGCGCCACGCGCAACGTGGCGGAGGGGAGGCCTGGTGGGAGGAAGACAGTGAGAGGATGCTGGCCTCATAGCACTTGAGCACCTCGATCAGCAAGCGTCCTTCGAGCGAAAAGAGAGAGAGAGAGAGAGAGTACGTGTATACGTGTATGTATGTATGTATGTATTGTAGATTGGTATCTACACTGGTAGCTTCCTCGCCCTCCCTGCAAAG